CATTATGCTGAGTGAAATAAATCAATCACAGAAGGACAGATACTGTATCAGTTCATTATTGTAAAAAGTCAAGGGAAGGTTTATATATGGAAGGAAACTTTTTTTGGTTACCAGGGGTGGGAGGGGAGGAAGGAATACTGCAAAAATAAAAAGATAAATTGTGCATGTTTTTGGGAGAAAACATCTAAATAGGCAGTTACTAAACAAACAAAATGTAACAAGTTATGGATAACACAGAAGAATGGGAATTCCAGAACACTTAATAGTACTCATGAGGAACCTGTAGGTAGATAGACCAGGAGGCTGTTATTGGAGCAGAACAAGGGGACATTGTGTAGTTTAAAATCAGGAAGGGAGTGCATCAGGACTGTAGCCTTTCACCATACTTACTCAATCTTTATGCTGAGCAGATAATCTGAGAAGCTGGACTATATGAAGAAGAGCATGGCATCAGGATTGGAGGAAGGCTCATTAACAGCCTGTGATATGCTGACAGCACAGCTTTGCTTGCTGCAAGTGAGGATGACTTGACATAACTTACTGATGAAGATTGAAGACTGCAGTCTGCAGTATGAATTACACCTCAATATAAAGAAAACAAAAATCCTCACAACTGGACCAAGAAGGAGAATCACGATAAATGGAGAAATTGTCAAGGACTTCATATTACTTGGTTCTACAATCAACACCAATGAAGGCAGCAGTCAAGATAATCAGACAACTTACAGCATTGGGCAAATCTGCTGCAAAAGACTTCTTTCAAATGCTGAAGAGCAAAGATATCTCCTTGAAGACTAAGGTATACCTGACACACGAGCCATGGTATTTTCAATTACCTTATATGCATCTGAGAGCAGGAAAATGAATAAGGAAGACCTAAGAAGAGTCGATGCTTTTCAGTTGTGGTGTTGGCAAAGAATGCTGAAAGTACCATTGACTGCTAAAAGCAGTTAACAAGTCTGCCCTGGAAGAAGTGCAGCTGGAATGCTCCTTGGAGGTGAGAATGGCCAGACTTTGTCTCACCCACTTTGGTCATGTCAGAAGAGACCATTCCCTGGAAAAGGATATTGTGCTTGGTAAAGTGGAAGGTCAACAGAAAAGGGGAAGTCCCTTAACAGGATGGATTGACACAGTGGCTACGATGATGGGCTCAGGTATAGCAAGTATTGTGGAGCTGTCACAGGACCAGGCAGTGTTTTGTTCTGCTGTACATAGGGTCGCTATGAGTTGGAGACAACTTGACGGCACCTAACAACAACAAACAAGCAAATGTACCATGTGTTACAAAACGCTTCCCCATGAATAGCCTTATAGGTGGAGTTTCT